TTTTAGTTTTTCTAATTTAGATGCACATGAGATCTCTGCTTTCCTGTTCAACAGCCGTAACTAGTTAGATGACATTATGTAACAAATTGCTGCGCAGGAAGGCCTTCCACATTTAGTTTCGTGCGGTGGCCAGGATAAGTGTCAAGATTCCGCGACCACAACACTTTTACGATGATAAAAGTTCGGACCTTCCTGGAGAAAGTTGAGGAGGTCGCGGATGCCGCCTGATTGGAGACCGACCGGAGTAAGTTCGGAACGCTGAAGATCCTCCTCTAGAGCTGGACGAATTAGGCACTGCATGCCGCCAGATTATGTTCTTGGAAGTTGGACTGGGCCGCCGCGAACGACGACCTTGCATTGGAAATCTACACGTCGGCCGACCTCCTGGAGGCTAAGAGGCGGTTCAAGACAACCAGGATGGTAGCTGGATCTGACCCCTCCCTGTTCTTTGCCGACAATCAGCACACGTTGGGTCCCGATTTGCGGGCCTGTACCTGGTGTCACGCAACCAGTCGCTTTCCGACCAGTTCGTCAAAAATGTGCGCCTGGTACCCAATTGCAGTTGGCAGTGGCAAATGACCAGCTGAGTGTGGAGGAGCTAGCGTGAGTTCCTCGAAATCTGCCCGAGGGACAAATAGTCGCATTGAAGTCGCAGGAGAAGAGAGATCGTTGACCAGTGGAGGAACTGCAGACCAGAGTAGATTTACTCGAGAAACAGCTTGGAGCCGTAAAAACGGAATCGCCTGGTACGCTCGAGCCAGCCGGTGTTTACATATATGGCACGTCTGGCTACTGGAACAATCAGTGTCCTCGTATTCGATCACCTGCAACTGATACAAATTTTGAGCGCTCTTCTTTTCCTGGGTGGGTCGGGATGACTGCACTGACACAATCCACCATACAGGCCGTTGTCGAGATAGACGGGAAGAAGTATGTACGTTTGATTGACACATGTGTAGGCGTATCGTAGAAGCGGAGGACGAACCAAGCTGAAAGCTAACCAGGCGCGCTAGCCATGAGAGCAGTGGGTGGATATCGAATGAAGATTCATGGATTGTCAACGCAC